TATTCTAGATCAGTTAACTCTCTTTATCAAATGACAAGAATGCTAAGATATATCAACTATACTTCAATAAGAAGGATAAAGATAGATAACCTAAGAAGTTTTTCTAATTCGGCTTGGCTTTATAATTCTAAATCAAACAAAGAAACGCAAACTGAGGGAGATCTATATTTTGGAAAATTTACCAAGGAAGAGTACGATAATGCAGCTCATTACGTTAAAAATCAAATAAGCCGTTTGGAAAAGGAAATAAAAGGTGATGTAAACATACGTGAAAATTTAGGCACAATGCCAACTCTTCCGGTAATGTCTGATAGTGGAAAGAAAATTAGAGTTGATGATTTATCAAGTCTTTTGTCGGAAACCATTAAAACGACGGGTCCATTATCTTTGCTGGCCTTTATCCGTCAATGCCTAACACACCCACAATTTGGATATTATACTACTCGTGACCCATTGAATGCTTCAAGTGGTGATTTTATCACGTCACCAGAAATTTCTTCTATGTTCGGCGAAATGATAGGTATATGGTTATTTAGTACTTGGTTAAATCAGAATAAACCACAAAAGTTAAACATTATAGAGTTTGGTCCTGGACGAGGGACACTTATGTACGATTGTTTAAAGTCGTTCAATAAATTCAAGAAGAATTTAATTCAAGAAGAAAACATAGAGATCACCATGATAGAAGCTTCACCCGTCTTGAGAAAGGAGCAGTGGAAATTGTTGTGTGGAAGCAATGAGTTTACAACTGACAGTGATGGATTCAATATCTCACAGACTCAATGGGGGAATAGAATTAAATGGGTTGATAACGAAACAGATATAATCAAGGATGAAAGCGTTGCCAATTATATCATAGCTCATGAGTTTTTCGATGCGTTACCTATTAAAAGTTTTCAAAAAACTAAGCATGGATGGAGGGAGCTAGTGGTAGAGCATACGCCGAGTGTCGATAATACTCAACTTTCATTGCCAGAAGGTTCCTCATCAAATTCAAGCTCAGGAGACAATGACTTATTAAATACAGAATTTCATTTAACCTTGTCTCCCAAGGAAACCACTTCTTCAATTATCCCAGATTTAAATCCGAGATTCAAAGATTTACCCATAGACTCAAGAATTGAAATTTGTCCTGATGCTGAATTATATGTGTTGAAAATGGCTCAACTTTTAAATAATAAAAAGACAATGGGTTCGGTATTAATTATTGACTATGGGACGAGTGATGGAATACCTGATAATACATTAAGAGGCATTTATAAACACAAGTTTGTTTCACCATTTATAAAACCTGGTGAAGTCGATTTGTCCGTCGACGTCGATTTCACCAACCTTAAAAATGTAACTGAAAAAATATGCAAGAGTTTTGGACCAGTGGAACAGGGTGATTGGCTACATGAATTAGGCATCGGCTATAGAACTGATCAATTAATTAAAGCTAATAATGGAAATGTGATTGCTCAAGAAAAAATATATAATGCTTATGAAAGATTAACTAGTAAAGATGAAAAAAGTATGGGGCAAATCTATAAATTTCTTTGTTTAACACCTCATGAATCGAAGCCTCCCGTTGGGTTCGGAGGCTCTGTATAAATACCCTTGTTAATAGACATCTAATGACATAATAACGTTTTGAACTTGTATCATTTCTTCTTGATTTACCTGAAACCTATCAATTGAGTACATTTGTCATTTCTTATTGATAGCACGAAATCGCGATAATAAAATGACATCAATTGTTTGAAACATAGGATACTTGGGAATACACTTTTGGCGTCAGTGCAAAAAGCGTCTAACAGGTTTACTCAAATAATCCATTTCCATTTTCTGATTGCCTTAAAGGATGATTCATAAGGAAACTCACAATAGCATAGACAGTAGTGTTTTAAAAGGAGTCTTATTTCTTCGATTTCATCTACCAATTCTAATCGGTTTATGCGGGCCAAATCTTTAGTACTTATCCATGCCTTTGATTTATCATCTGAATCATATCCTCCTACATTACTCATATCTGTCAACTTAATATTAGATGATTGACACTTCTCGGACAAAAACTTATATCTTGCTTCTAAATTTGGATATTCATTAAAAGTCAAAAGATTGATCCCTCTATTCGATAAATTATGCGTCATCGTTGTTCCGAAAGCATCATTTAGTGACATAGGTTCATAGATTAAAAGCGCTAATAGTGCTCTTGATGCAAATGCTTTCTTCCAAAAATCTATAACTCTCTCATTTTCTTCTGGATTAAGATAACACAAGACACATTCACTTAGTATAAGTGTTGGAATAGATGTATCCACATGCTCAAGTAATGGACAATCATCCAGTATGCCTGTTAACCGACGTAGATCATAACCTATAAGATTATAGTTCTCAGTATGAATATTAGCCTCAAGTTTTGCAAATTCTTCTTTCGAAGTAATAGGTTTGGTGCTTTCGTGATATTTGACGATATCTGCAAGTCTTTTATCATTTGTGATTGCCAATTTTTTAATTTTTACCGACTCAGGAAAGTCAATTTCACAGTACCTAACATTTTCACCATACTCCTCCAAGATTCTAAAACATCTGGTGTCAGAGCCACCTCCTAAAGATAAAATCTGGCATTTTTTGAATTCTTTTATAAATTCTTGTGTTATAACATCAATCAGTTCTGTTCTCAAGTATGTGCCTCTATTAATTAATGGTAGTTTCTGCTCATTAAAAACAGATCTGAGAGTTCTGTTTGCCGACATATTAGTATAACCAGTACATAATGGAAGATGGATTTTATATGAAGATATAACGCTATCGATAAATGGATCGGTCGTCGAAAAGTAAGATTTGTTGTTTGCACTGTAACGACAACTAAGAGCATCTAAATCAGTCGCCCTAATTACTTTGTCTTGCTTTTCTTGAGGGGATATCATGTCTTCTATTATCTTTGTGAAGAAAATTGAATCAGTAAGTGATCTACAATAATTTAAGTCAGCTACGCGAGTGTATACAAATCACAAAATAGTATTTTATTCAGAACTGAACTAAATCAGTCTTTTCTTATTATTACCCACCAATTATCCTTTTCATACCCTTGATCTACTAAGGAGCAGCCCCCCGCTGCAAGGGCATTATCTACAAGTTCACCCTTTTTATATAAATGATAGTACCTGTATTTAGTTTCTGGCTCTTCGGGTTTTTGCTCTTCCTTAATATCCAGATTAGGCTCGCTTTGCTGATCTTGCTTTCTGGACTTTCCCTTAGTCTTATCTTTCTTTGGTTGTTTATTTTGCAAAACCCACGGTATTAATATGTCTTGGTCGTCGCCTTCTTTGTAGCCTCGTCTAGACTTTTCCTGTTCTAATGCCCAACAGTATATCAAAACTTCGCCCCCACTTCTCATCTTTTCAAGAATATGCTTGATTGCCAATACTCTTCTTTCTATTGTTGCAAAGTGGTGAATAACTGCGATAGAAATCGCAAAATCAAAAGTATTACTGGGATGCGGTAAGTTCAATCCGTCTGCAACACCCACGTTGTAAGTATTATTCGACAAGGTTTTAGCACAATCTATTAACCCATCGGATCTATCTGTGCCTATCATGAACAATTTTTTATTTACACCAAGATACTTTCCATTACCACACCCAACATCTAGACCAATGGAATAATCTTTCTGATTCATAAGAAACTTTTCAACGATTGGCCATGGCTTATAACGTGTTTGGGAAAAATGAGGCGCTATTTCATTATAGACCGTATGAACAAAGTCATTCTCTTGATTCACAGGGTCGATTTCTTTACTTAAAGATGGGAGAGACATACTTGTTCAATAGAGTTAGGTCTTCTTTCATAACTTTTCAGATGAGTTCATAAAAATATTTAGATTATTACCACGTGATTATACTCTAGTTTAAGAATCAAATATTTAAGTCTTTTACTCTAATATATCGAACTACGATGAAAAATAGGTCACTATATTCCAATAGTACAGCTTTGTACATTGTAATATGTTTGCTAGGAGTGCTATTGCCTTTTTTTCCATTTTTTAAGAGCAAATCAGTTTCATCGATTGAGGAATTGCAACGGATCAAATCGTTTATTATCGATGATCTTGCTGTAACTATTCCAATATTTGTACGCTTTGGCGACAAAGGATTCAATTTTCCTGATTTGATAGAAGCAACACAAATGGAATTGGATTACGAATTGTATAAGACAGTAAATACTAATTGGCGATTCAAATTGATTGACGAGCTTGTGAGCAATAGGTCATACGCAGACGATGAAAACTATATTCTAGAGTTGACTCATTCTGACGACAATTTTGTAATAGTCGAGCCTAACATGTACAAAGCTCAGGTGCATTATTCGCAAGCATCAGTACATGCCAATGACTTGCCGTTTTTCATGACTCAAGCTACTTTGGAGCATTTGGTGTCAGCTGAAATTGAATTGTTAAGGTTACTAAATTCTTCTGAGAAACCAATAGACATGCCTTCCATTGATGCAAAAATCATTATTGTTGGCTTGGAAAGTAAGCGTTTTGAACAAATATTTGAAGAAAATTTTGCTCCACTCAAATCCTTGATGACAGAAGCACTGGGTCTTTCGAATATAAATATTACGATGACAGCTTTAGAATCTTTAAATTATGAAAATGTAACAAATTCAACCGATTTTGCCTATTATGTTTATTCTGACGTTCACAATAAACCCTTTATTCCTAATAAAACTATTTATCCAAATTGCATATCATATATACACAATGACTCATTAACAAACGAAGATGCCACTCATTTAATATCCAAAATTTCTGAAGAGTTGAAAAATGTCTTGGGATTACCAAGAAATCCCATGAACAACTTAGGTATTAAGTTGCATGCAATGAAACGTTATCTCACTTTAAAAGTATTAATAGAATCGATAGATTATTTGATAACTGCAGCCATGGGAAATCATGGTGTTTATTCCAACAAAATAGGAAACTTCATTAATAATTTAAATCCGATTATCGATAGTCTACATAAAAACGAATCCATACATGATTGGAACAGTCTACTAGCTTGGAGCAGAGAATTTAAAAATGCCTCATCTCATCTTCTTGAAGACTCAGATATATCTAAGTAAAATCTACTGTTTATTGTCTACTCGAATAGAAAACTAGGTATCGTATCAAGGAAGTAGTAATTAGAATAATTCATTCGTATTAACTGATACCAAAACGCTTTGAAAAACATACACGTGATCAAAATTTTAATCCTGCTCTTTTGTAAATATTGAGAGATGAATGTCTAATTGCCATCATCGAAGCAATATTATGCATACTGAATATAATGAAGACGAGCATCTAAGCGACGTTAGTTTGGATGAAGAAGATGAGGAGTTGATTTGGAAGGTCTTTTATAGTTCTCTTGAAAAAGAAACACGAGATTCTCCAGATGGTGAAAATGAAAGTGAATTGAGCGAAAATGAAGAGTTCGACGATTTAAGTGACATTTCGGACATAGACGATCCAGAGCTTATTTCAGAGTATAAGGAATTAAAATCGCAGACCATTGGAAATTTGAATGAAGAAGAAAAGAAAAGATTGATTATAGGTAACTTTACAGATGATCAAATGGAAAGATTCGAATCATATAGACGAATGACAGTCAATAAGCCTGGTGTGAAAAAGATTTGCAATGGTGTACTTGGTCATTCAATTCCACAAAACATAGCTGTTGTTTTAGCAGGTCTATCAAAGCTGTTTTTAGGTGAGATAATAACAAGGGCATTTGAAATACAAGAAAGAGAACATAAAGCCCAATTAATACTAGATATAGACAACAAGAAGAAGCAAAAATTAGATATTTTAAAAAGTTTGGAAAATGGGAAAGAGATTGAAGTAGATGATAGAAAATTACAATATCGAGGCGATACTCAGAGACCTCTTCTCCCCGAACATATACGCGAAGCTTGGAGACTTTATAAGTTGGAAAATAGTGGTGTTTTCAATGCACAATGGCGGGCGCAGGGCGATTCTGATGGTAAGCTTTTTCGCTGAAAATTTGACATGTCATTGATTAATTCTCTTCAGATTATTTTGAATATCCTAATTTGAATATAGTTAAGTATTTATGTATTAGTGTCAGTGACATTGTAAACAATATCAATTGAATCAAGGTAAATTTCATCAATTCTACAACTATTATTTTCTAAAATAGTATGAAACTACATGTTTTGAAAATTTACAAAGTTTATAAAGTCTAGTGTGTGTAGTCATCTATAAAAGTTTCATACATTTTTTCATTAAATCCGTTTGTAAAACAAAATTATTTCCAACTTAAGGAAATACATCCTAACATCGTTACTTAAGATAATACCTTGTAGATTATTCAGAATAATTGAACAAGGACAATCATAAATAGTTGCATTCAGGGTTGTCTTATGATCAAAAGGACCATTTAAATATAATTTTTAGTTGAATTATATGACATGATCACGCGCTATTGGTTGTCTTGAAGTAATCTCTCTAAACAAGAACTTATTTCAGTATTTATTTTAAATTAAAGAGTGTGTAATGAATATATTCAGATATAAACAATATACATTACCTAATAATAAAGATACAATCTAAATTACCTTTCAGATTAGCCTCCTTATATAGTAGAATATTAGGGTTACCCAATTAAGCTCTTTACTTTTTGCAGTAATTAATATTTGAACTCTGGTCAATATTTATTATTCAAAATAGTAAATATTAGTTTAATAAGCACATTATTAACTCGTGGGTCATTACATTTAACTTAAAGAAGGAATGTTGATATGCTGTACTCACTTTTTTACTCAATCAAGTATTTATTTGATTTTGCAACCAGTTTGCATTTTCCCACTATAATTGAATTCTTAGTGATGTATTCGTGAAATATTTCAACAATAAATATAGGTCTTATGACCTTAGAATATAGATCTTTTTTTATAGAAAGTAAGTAAATTATATATTATAATTGAGATACTTAAATTGACCTATATTATCTATTGAAATGAATACATCAACCATGGACTTAGACAATTTACTTCAACATGCTTGACTTCAAAGCTTCTATAGCAGAGCATTAGCATTACCAACCATTAATAATTAATGAATAGCGATATCTCGAATAATAAAAGTCTCTGATATCAAGTATGATGTAGATGATAGCATGGAAATTGATATTGATTCATAACCCCCATAACTGCAACTTCCCTTTTCGAGCAATACGAATCATCTCTATTTTTCTATAAGGAACAAGTATAGAATCTATTCTCTCAAAAAAAATTCTTATTATTTAATGACATGCCTACACTGGAAGAATAATCATTTACTGTGATTGGCTCCGGAACCCTAAATACATAGGCGCAAATTTGTGAATATTTGTGTAATTTAAATATCGGTGAGAAGCATATAAAAGAATTTTTTAATCAAGCCATTTTTATTAATATATCTTAATCCTAGGCGACGTGAGTAGCAAGGCATCAAAATGAGATTCTTAAGCATCACACAGCTATTAATTCTAGCCTCAACCTTTTTGACAATTAGTTCAAGTGCTATCTCAAGAGATGAGTTCAATGATAAGACTATTCAGAAACGTGATTTCCCAAAGCATGATCTAGCACAAACCTTTCAAAATGTATGGAATTCAGGTCTACCAGTCAGACAAATGACTTTATGGGGTGCTTTCACTTATTATGGAAGTAAATCGACTTTTGGTCTCATTGACCAATGCAACCTATGTATTGCTAATCATCAAGACCCCCCAGGCACAAATTGTCAGGACAGTCTTGAAGGCTTAGCCAGGAACTTAGCTGCAACTGTGATGGCTGGTATTGGCATTGCTTACACTAATGGCTGGTTGGGAAAAAGAGAAGACTTTTACTTGCGAGCAATATTGATGGTATTACTAACCTTCTTGCTAGTCATGATATCAATGTTACTCATAATGAGATTGCTGACAATAACGCTAATGATAACTATAATTACCATTTATTGGCTAATAATAATGAATCAGAATATTGCTAGTAATGAAACACGCTCTATATCAGTACAATAATTAAATACTACTCACCTTTATGATAATGAGAAAAGAGATGATCATTGGGGTAAAGACCACCCAGAGGGTGATTTTCCAAACTGCCATGATCAGTTGGTCATAGATTATTGTAGAAATACTAATAATGTAATTGACTACGATCCAGCAACATCTGTGACGTGGATTGCTGCAGAGCATGTCTTCGAAGGTGATTGGAGAGCTCTATATTGGAAAGCATTCGAAGAGGATGATTGGACAATGTCGTGGAGATATTATAAAGTTAACAGTGGCTCAGAAGCGTGGTGGTCAGAATGATACAGGTAGGTAGACATACTTAGACATACAGGTTTTCTTGATTGAGTAAAGGAATGAATACTACCTACAACCTTTTGAAGTAAATCGTCT